TGGCCTGGCCGGGAGGCAGCCGGGGAGAACGTAACGGGGGGTCGGTCCTGGGGATCTCGTACCCCAAGCAGCATTGCTCCCTCCGCCTCGCTGCCTACGGGAGCTCGGGCGCCGATGCACCGTGTAACGCCTGTCGTTTTGCCGCTGTCCCCGGTTTTTTTGCTCGGCCTCTTTATCTTTCAATTGCAAAGCAATTAAAGGTCGGTATGAATCTGCGAGCATCCCTCCCCGCGGGGCCCTCTGATGCCCGCTGTATTGCCCTTTAGATGCCTCTTCCTTTTTTTGTTTTACAATTGTTGTATCAATATAATGCTTCCTTTCTTCCTCTGTCTCTATAGATACAGATATACAAGGCAAACCAAAGGTTTCGGCTGCTATTCAGTGCCTCCTCATTTGTCCCAGAGCCGTAACAGTGGTGCCCTTTCTCTTCTGGCTGCTTTCCCCTGCTTCTGGAGCAGCAGTTATGGGAGAAGCAGATGGCTACTGATTGGGTGAGCTTTGTGGCTTTAATACTGAATACTTTATGGAAAAGGACTTTATCATGCTTGGTTGGTCAGAGGAACAACGGGATGAGATTTATGACTAGAGAAAATAAATCTTTTTAAGTTTCGAGCTCCTTCACACACCCCACGTCAAGTTGCTGCAGCAGAGCTGGAGCTGAAATCCTCTGCATCTTTATTTTTTCCCTCCCCTCCGCCCCGTCTGTCTGTCCTTTCATTGGTCTCCCCACCCCCTCTGCGCCAGGGTTTAGCAAACCTTTACTAACTTTAGGCACTGTCACTCGCTGGAGAAGCCAGGCCCTTCAGAGCCCCCAGGCAGCACCCGGGAGGGAGGGGCCATCCCTGCATGAGGATTATCCACCTGACGGGAATATGCTGGGCACTCAGCTCCTGCCAGAGCTCGGCCACGCGGAACTCAGCGGCCACCCAGGGTCCGGTGGAGAGCTGTGAGTGACGTCCTCACGTCCCGGCAGCAGAGAGCTGATGCGGCCACCAAAGAGGCGTCCGGGCCACCGCTCGGAGCTCAGGGCTCGCCAGGGGGGAGATGGAGGCCAGCAGTGCCCGAGCCCAGGCTCCCCACGCCGGGCCGAGGACTGTGTGTGGGACCGTCCCTCCTGGAACCGTCCCCTGTGCTGTGTGTGCTGTGTGCCCTCTGCCCGGCCTCCCACCGAGCCATGGGCAGCGCCGGGCGGCGGGCACGGTGCTGGCACACAGAACGGCCCGAGGGTGTACAGGAGGCACAGGCAGATTTCAGTCCCGCAGGGATTCCCCTTCTTCCGTTTCTCTCCCTTTTCTGTCCTTCGTAGCCAATCATGTCTTCTGTCAGGCTGTTAAACGTTTGAAGGAAGGTGAAGCTAGGTGAAAGCTTTCCAGGTTTTCAACCTTGATGCTGCTGTCAGGCCAAGTAAAGAGGAGAAGCAGAAAGCCTGAGAAAAATAATTTTGAGGTAGAAAGTCAGCAGTGGTACTGGGCTATGTATGGACTGTTTAACCAGCCACCTGTATTATGTTTGGTGGTTTAGGTTTTGGTCAGCAACAACAAAAAAAAATTCTGTGACCCTTTGGTGAATATGCCGATCGATATTTCTAACCAGACTCTGCATTTACTCAGAAGAAAATACAAGGGAAGTTCGGGCACCTTCAGGGATGAGTAAAGAGCCAAGGTGCCTATGGTGTGTCTGAACCATGAGAAAGGAGGTAGGGAAGGTATGTCGGGTTCCTGGGGAGCAGGAGCGTTCGCTCCTTGGTGGATGAACCACAGCTAAAGCTGCTATCTGGCCCTTTTTAGAGATTTGTGGTTTTGTGGCAAGGCAGTGACCTGACTGGTGAGGTGGGGCTGAAGGTTCGGAGGGAATAGGAAGGGACAGGCACCCCAGGTGTGTTTGGGAGCTGGGCTGGAAACAAGACAGAACATTCCTGGTGTGCCTCGGCCCTGGCAAGGACCTGGAGAGAGGCACTCACTCACCTGGTTATGGGTCTGAGGACTACCCGTGCTGCTCGGCAGAATTAGCAGTGGGAGAAGCACGGCTCGTGTCTGTAGCGTGATGGGATGTCTCGGGCACCCCAGCACAGGGCTTTCCCGGGAAAGGAGCCATCCACGAGCTGCTGACAAGCTGAAAGGATGATTTCAGTCATTCAGCTGAGGCCCCGATTTATTTCCACTACAGAGGCCTGTCTGTCTCCAGGGAAGGGAACCGTTCTGCCTGCATTTCTCCAGGCACCAGGAAAGCTTGTGGCTCCACATTTCATTTTGAGTGGATTTTCCATTCCACCTGGTGTGTACCTCCCGGGGACCACAGCTGCCCCTGCCCCTGGCGGCAGCAGGCAGAGATGGTGGCAAGGCAGTTTTGAGCATCCCTTCATGTGCCCCCTCCCCACAGAGCCCTGGCCCCGCAGGGATGAGTGTGGCTGGGCTTGTTTGCTTCCGGGAACTCGTGGGTTCTCTCGGTGATTTCATTTTATGAGTGACTTTATTGCAGTCACCTGGGAGCTGGCTCTCAGCTGTGTGTGTGTCTTCCCGTAGGAATAACCACACACCCGTAGGCCTGGTGCATGACAGAACCCAGGCAGTGTTTCCCAAAGGATGCTGGAGTGTTTCTGAGCACAGTTAAGCAGCCTTTCCTGGTCCCTCTTCTCTCCCCTTCCCGCGTGAAGGTCAGGGACGAAAGAGAAGAGTGACACCCCCGGGAGCAGGTGCTGTGTCCCTTGCAGCCATCCCCACGATAACTCATCGCGGGCAGAAGATGGTTATCACGGCGGTTAGTGAGAACGGTGTCCAAGCATCCAGGCATCCCCACTCTGCCAGGCTTCGGCCCCTTCAGCCGCCTGGATCCCCTCCCGGCCAGGGAGCAGCGGACCCTGGGCCGCTCCCTCGGGCCTTGATGCCGGCCAGGGCTGGCTTCTGCGGCAGTTTGGCTCGCCAGCCCAGCCCCTTCTGAGCTCAGCTCCCGGGCTTGTCCGCTGCTCCTGGCGCTTCCCCTTGCCCGGGAATTGCTTGTGCCGCGCTGGTGCCGTCCAGGGGGCTCGGCAGAGCAGGGGCTGTGATTTTGGAGGGCGGGGAGTGGCGGAGGTTCGGCGGCTTGCGGGCGTCCCCGGGAAAACGGCCGGAACTCCTCAGCCCGGGTCGCCCCTGGCTCTCCGCAAGAGAATTTCTGGAAAAATAAACGAATAGGAAATCCATGGATGTACCGAGACAGGAGTGTGCGGCAGCCGGGAGGCGGCGGGCAGCGATCGCACGGCCCCGTGGGGTGACGCCGAGCTCGCTGGCAGCGCGGCGGGGCCGGATCGGGCCCGGCGCACCTGGCCCGTGTCCTCCCAAAATCCCGGCGAGGCATTTCCACGGAGCCGGGAGAGCGCCGCCGGCACCGGGCTGTGCGGGGCCCCGAGCTTGGCGAGGGTTGTAGTGGGCGCTGCCGGCGGGGGCACCCCCAGCAGAAATTCCAAAAGGAAGAGTCTATCCCAGTGCCGTTCTGCGGGTCGAAGGACGCTGTTCCCTGGCATACACTTTTAGAGTGGCATCAGAGGCTGCATAAAAGCACAGAAATTCCACCGCGGTCCTTCCCAGTCCCAGGGAATTTCGGTGGCTTGGATCATGCCGAAGCGATTTCGAGATCGTCTATGTGCCATGGTGTCCCTTAAAATTCTCTCGAATGAAATTAGCGCGTAGTTTTTCTTTTCCCCCACTAATGACAGTCATTCGGACAATTTATATCTTACAGCGAGAGCTGCAGGACTGGGGGAAAAAAAAATGAAAGAAGAAAAAGGAATAGGAAAAAACAACCCATCACATTTGAAGCAGGAATTGACATACAAATTTTTACAGACTCCCGTATTTTTAATGGTATGAGAATCTCTGTTTTAGGAGACGCTGCGTTTTGTCGAATTAATAAGATAAATGTTGAAAGCATATTATATGCAGCCTTTAATCCTAATGCAAGGAAAATCGTAATTATGTGGAGGATAAGTGAATTTGAAAGCCAAACATCAGCCCACTCTCTGCAAACCCCGCTCCGTTCGCCCCTGGAAAACGCTTTGTCTCTTCCTTTTTTTTTTTTTTTTTTTTTATTTTAAGGGGTTTCAAATTCTATTTTTAATTATTCTTTTTTTTTTAAATCTGTTTTATATCCGAAATGACGACGATCAGGGAGGGACCGGTAAACACTTTTCCACGCGATAAATCCCTTATTTCGGCACAGAGCATCTGCGCGTGTGTCTGTTCCCTGGAGCTGCGCGGGTGTCGGTGGATGCGGGAGCCCCGCGTGTGCAGGGGGAGAGCCCATGGCCGCCTCCCGCGCCGCAATGGCCAGGAACGGACGGGGGGCTCCGGCCGGGGCTGCCCCCTGCCCCGGTCCTGCGGCGGGGGGCGCGGGGCTGCCCGGCGCCGCTGCCCGGCGCCGCTGCCCCGCACGCCGGGCCTTGGCCGGGCGCGGGCAGCTCAGGGCCGCTCCGCGGAGCCGGGCCCGGCCATCCCCGCTCGGCTCCGTCCCGCACAGGAGGTTTTTATCCGCGCCTCCGCTTGCCCCTACCTGGCAGGTGCGGGGACAGGGCGGGGAGCGGCCGCCGGGATCCCGGCGCCGGGCGGAGCGGCCGTCGAGCTCCCCCGCTCCCCTCCCCACACCCCCGCCGGGCCGAAGCGGAGCCGCGGCCCCGAGCACGCCCGCTGCCCCGGCAGAAGGTCGGTGGGGAATCGCGCCCCGCTTTTCCCACCCCCTTCCCCGCTGGTGCCCGGCGGCGGCGGGTCCAGGTGAGGGGCGGGCGGGCGGCGAGCGGGCAGCCCCGAAGGGGTTAACGGGAGGGACGTGGGCTGTCACGCGTCATTGGGCAGATTATGTGCAGCAAACAAAAAGTGTGTGTCTGCGTGCCAGCCCCTCACTGCACCGGGTCCGTCTGCACCGCGCGCCTCCCGCTCCGCCGCCCGCACGGCCCGGCCCGGTCCGGCATGGAGCGGCGCTGAGAGCCCGAGGCAGCCAGCCCGGAGCCGCCTTTGTGCTACTGTCGGGGCGAGGATTGTCCCCACCGTCCCTGGTGAGTACCGGCGGAGGGGCCCCGCCGCCCCCCGCCGCCCCCGAGAGGGAACAATGCCGGGGACGGCCGTGCTGCCGGCGGCCCTGCCCGGGCTGCGGGGACCGGCGGGGGAGTCCTCCGGGAGCGGCCCCGGCGCCGCCCGGCCCGGACAAAGGGCGGCCCGGGGGAGGCAGCGCCGCGGGGCCGGGGGCGGCCCGGGGAGCCGGGGGGATGCGGCGCCGTGGGGAGCCGTACGGGGCCCGTCGCCGCCGGGGGGAAAGTTCGGCGGGGGCCGCTCGCTGCCGGTGCTTTCGTTTGGCGAAATCGTTCCTTCGGGGAAGGGATGCATCGGGCATCGGCGGAACGGGGAGGGCGCCGGGGAGGCGGCCGGAGCGCCTTCTCCCCGGCCTCCGTTCCCGGGGAGGGACCGGGACCCCCGCCGCCGCTCAGGGGGGGTGAAGTTTTCGGCGGTGCGGGGACCCGGTCGTACCCCGAAATGGGGGGGGCGGAGCGGCGGCTCGGCGGAGCCGTGCCCGGTGCGAGCGGCCGCAGCCGTAAGCAGGCGCACCGGGAGGAGCACCGGTCTTTTCCCGAGCCAGCCCCAAATGACGGATTTCGATGGCAGATGGGGCGGGGGGAGGCAGCCGTGCGCTAATCTGGTCGGGAAGGGCGAGGGCACCGCAGCCGGGCGCGATGCTCCCTCCCCGGCCTCGGCGCCGCCGACCCCGCACCGTGCCCGCTGCCCGCGCTCCGCCAGCTGCCCGCCGCCCGCATCCCTCCCCTCGGAACGCGCGGCAGCCGGGGCTCACCCTGCTCCATAAATAAGCGTGTCGAGGTAAAAATAATTACCTCTGCTTGCTGCTTTTAATTAAAGTCTCGGAGGGAAAGTGCTGGATTATGATAATGAGCAGCCATACGTTCCCCTTGTCGCGCGGAGCGGGAGGTGAGCTGACACGCAATCGGCGACAATGACAAGCCACTGGAACCCACCCGCTCCCTCGGCATAGCCCGCAGCTCGGCCCGGCTCCGGGGCTTGTCGGAGGGAGACCCGGCGCCTGCTCGGGACAGGACGTGGCCGGTGGGATTCCCGCGTCTCTGCCCAGAGCCAGCTCCGCCGCGATATCTAAAAAAATAAATCAGCACGGCAGAGTCCCCGCACCTCGCCTCTGCTCGCAGCTCCTAGCTCGCTTTAATTTTTTTTTTTTCCCCAGACCGGAAAAGCTGTTCGCCTGCTTTTTTTCTTTCTATCTATCTTTTTTCTTTAAAAACAAAAATTTTTGAAGTTTTTTTCTTACTGTTTTATTTAATAATTCAAGTCTATTTTATTTTGTTTTCTGGAGCATCCCGGTGTACCGCTGAGCGGGACCCGCTGCGGTAACGGCCCCTCTGTGCCCCTCTGTCCGCCCGCAGGGATGGAGGACGCCGGCGTCCAGCGGGGAATATGGGACGGGGATGCCAAGACGGTCCAGCAGTGCTTGACTGACATTTTTACCAGCGTTTACACCACCTGCGACATCCCGGAAAATGCCATTTTCGGCCCCTGCGTCCTGAGCCACACGTCCCTGTATGACAGCATCGCCTTTATCGCCCTCAAGTCCACCGACAAGCGCACCGTCCCCTACATATTCCGGGTAAGAGCCGCTCGTCCCCGGGCCCAGCTGCTCGCCACGTCGGCCGGTGGCCGAACGCGTGGCCGCCGCGAAGCGCGGGTCGGGCCGGGGAGCCCCCGCCGCCGGGGAGCTGTCCCCGAGGGCAGGGCAGAGCCGCCGCCGCCGCTCCTACTGCTGCCTAGCCCCGTGCTGTCTGTCGGTCGGTCGGTCGGTCGGTCGCTCCTTCGGTCCGGTAGATTAACGCGGGGTTTCAGGTGGACACGTCGGCGGCCAACGGCTCGTCGGAGGGGCTGATGTGGCTGCGGCTGGTGCAGTCGGCGCGAGAGCGGGAGGAGCAGAACCTGGAGGCCTACATCAAGAGCGGGCAGCTCTTTTATCGCTCCCTACGCCGCATCGCCAAGGACGAGGAGCTGCTGGTGTGGTACGGGAAGGAGCTCACCGAGCTGCTGCTGCTCGGCCCGGCCCGGGCCCCCGCCCGCACCAACGGTGGGTGCCTCGGGTGGGAGGAAGGAGCGGGATCCCCGCCGCCGTGGGGAATCGGGAGGCGGCGGTCGGCCTCGGGATGCCCCGCTCCCGATGCCCAGACTCTCGGCGGATATACCCTCGGCGGCCCCGGCTCACGGTGCTCTCTCTCCCTCTTTCTCTCTATCTGTCTGTCCGTCTGTCGTGCCCGCCCGACGCAGGCTCGCCGCCCTTCGCCTGCCCTGAGTGCAGCCAGCGCTTCCAGTTCGAACTGCCCTTCGCCGCACACCTCCGGTTCCGCTGCCCTAAGAGGCTGCACGGCCCCGACATCGGCCCCGCCGCCGAGGCCGCCGGCGCCAAGGACGGCGCCGGCAAGGAACAGGAGCCCAGCAAGTTCGGGAAGCCCGGCGGGCAGCCGCACCATCCCTTCCCCGGGCCCGACGGCGGCCCCGCCGCCAGCACCAAGCCCTCCACGGACTTCCACAACCTGGCGCGGGAGCTGGAGAACTCCCGCGGCGGGCGCGCCGGGTCCCCGGGCCGGCCGGCGCCCTCCGAGGGCGGCGCCGAGGCGGCGGCCGGGAAGGCGAAGCGGCGCTTCCCCGAGGAGGAGGAGCGCGGGCCCGGGGCGGCGCGGGGCCGCTTCCCGGCGGAGCGGCCGGGGCTGCCGGCGGCGCCCAAGGAGGAGCCGGGCTGCGCCCCGCAGCAGCAGTACCGCGCCGCCGGCTCCTACTGCGGGCTGGAGGAGGGCGGGCGCCTCTTCGCGCCGCCCAGCCCGGAGACCGGCGAGGCCAAGCGCAGCGCCTTCGTGGAGGTGAAGAAGGCGGCCCGCGGCCCCGAGCCCGACGGCGGCCCCGAGGAGGGCCCGGAGCGCGGCTCCCCGGGCGCAGGCGGCGCGGAGCCGGGGCTGTGCCCCCGCGGCGGCGCGGGGGGCCCGCTGGCCGCCCGCCTGGACGGCGGCAGCCCGGCGCGGGGCAGCGCCTTCAGCACGGTGCCGCAGCTCGGGGCCGGCCCCGGCGGGCCCGGCGGCGGCGGCGCCGACGAGAGGAAAAGCGCCTTCTCGCAGCCCGCCCGCTCCTTCCCGCACGTCCCGCCGCTGGTGCTGGGGCCCAAGCTGGGCGGGCTGGGCGAGCCCTGCCCCGACGGCACCGCCGCCCCCGGCCGCCTGTACGCCGCCGAGGCGCTGGCCGCCAAGCTGCCGGGCGGCGGGGAGGCGGCGGGCGGCGGCGGCGGCGGCGGCGGGGGGCTGCCCAAGCAAAGCCCCTTCCTCTACACCACGGCCTTCTGGCCCAAGAGCTCGGCGGCGGCGGCGGTGGCGGCGGCGGCGGCGGGGCCGCTGCAGCTGCAGCTGCCGTCGGCGCTGACGCTGCTGCCGCCGTCGTTCACCTCGCTGTGCCTGCCGGCTCAGAACTGGTGCGCCAAGTGCAACGCGTCCTTCCGCATGACCTCGGACCTGGTCTACCACATGCGCTCCCACCACAAGAAGGAATACGCGCTGGAGCCCCTCGTCAAGCGCCGCCGCGAGGAGAAGCTCAAGTGCCCCATCTGCAACGAGTCCTTCCGCGAGCGCCACCACCTCTCCCGCCACATGACCTCCCACAACTAGCGGGGACATCCCCGGCCCCGGGAACCCGCCCGGGAGCCCCGCGCGGCGCCCCCCCGGGCCGCCCGCCTCTCCCACCCTTCCCCTTCGATGCACGCGTTTCCACTGTCCGGGGAGGGGCGGGGAGGGCAGCGGGTGAGGAAGAGGAGGTGAAGAAGAAGCAGAAAAATGAAGGTAAAGGTACGAAAAAAAAAAAAAAAAAGAGAGAGAGAAAAGAAAAGCACCGGGAAAAAGAAAAAAAAATCAAATTACTTAAAAAATACATTTTTTAAAATGTCATATATTGCAACATATTGATGCATTTGTCATACGTTTCTACTTAAATTATTAAGCACTTATGGTTTAGATGTAATAATAATTCTATGTCAGGGTAAATTTTTATTTTGGATATGAAGCTACGGGCGAGGGAAGCGCGGCGGGGCCGGCGGGCGGCGGGCCGGGGTCCTGCATGCACCGGGCGCTACCCCCGTCCGGCCCCGCCGCCCGCGCCCCTTCCCCCCGAGTGTCACTGGTGCCCGTGGAATGGAGTCTCGGTAGTTCCGTGTTACCTTCCCTTTCCCGTTTGGGTTTGGTTTGGTTTTTTTTTTTCCTCGCCCCTCTGGAAAAAAAAAAGATTTATTAAACTTTATAGTTTATCCGGGTATGTTGGATGCTTTGACAATAAATGACTTTATTTTCTTCAAAGCACCTGGACGTTAATCGATGCGGGGGTGTGGGCGGTGACGAAGGGGTGGCCCCTCTGAGGCGCGGTGGTAACGGGGCCCCGGGTGGCGCCGGGCCGCGGGGAAGGGCAGGCAAGCCCCACCACGCCGCCTCCTCTCTGCGCTCTCCTTCCCTGCTCGCCCGCCTTCCTTGGGCCCCTGGGACATCTGGCCATCCTTCCTCTTTTTCCAAGCATCTTTATTTTTGTCCGGCGTTTTATTCAGCCTTTATCTCTCTCCTTCATCCCGTCTTTCCCTTCCTTTCCTCTTCCTTTCGTGTTTTGGGTTATCTTTAATTTCGTTCGTTTTGCCTTTCTTTTTCTTTTTGCCTGTGTTTCTTTTTCCTTCTGTCTTTCCGTGTTTTGGTATTTTCTCACCCCACCCCACCTCTTCCTGGAGCCCGTATTGCCCGCCACCCTCTCCACGGCTGTTGGTGGTCCCCGGCTCGCAGGGTGGGCACAGCCACGGAGGTGGCCCGGAGGTTGTCTGGGGTGACAAGACCCAGGGCAGCCCCCGGCCCGCGGTGTCTTAGGGGCCAGGGGTGGGTCCCCTCTGTCCCGGCCGGGGACCTGGCCGGGGTGATGGCATCGCAGCCGGGCACACACGGGTGGACCAGGGCAAGGGGGATATCCCGGGCATGGCTGCACAGCCTACTCCGAAGGGCTCCACCCGCAGCGGGTGCGTTTAGCGTCAGCCCCGCGTGCTTTGGGGCGCTGGGGACGCAGCAGCCCGGGGATGTGCAGGAAACCCATTTCCACGCACGGGCTGCCATCACCCTGGCACCGAGGCTGTGCGTGGCTCAGCAGCTCGCTGGCAGGGAAAAGATCCCAAACCCGGAGCTGTGCAAGGCCGGAGCCCAGGCCAGAGCGTGAGAACCCCACAGTGCCGTGTAAATGGGGTCCCACAGTGCCACCGGCGTCTGCTGCCGTGGGGTCTGGGGTTTGCACGGAGTACCCGGACCTGCTGCAAAGCCTTTGCAGTTCCTGGGGAAGTGCCTGCGGCTTCACGTGGGGAAGCCTAGGAATGTCTCTGTCACACACAGTCCGGGCAGTTCCCGCTGGTGTTTCTCACTCTCTCAGCGCACTGGCCCCGGCACGGTACCTATCACCCCCAAGCCACGGCAGGAGCCGAAGAGACTCCCCCGCTCTCATTCCCTGCCTCAGGAACACGCATAGCTTCGCCTGCTGCCCTTAATAGCGGGGACGACACACTGATCATCCCGTGGATTTTCCTTAGAAGGGGTGCCAGCCCCGCGCGTCCCTTTTCTGAGGGTTCCAGGGATGCTGGACGGGGCTCCGGGGAATGCGGGCGGGCTGCGGGGATGCCGGGGGCGGCAGAGGCGGGTGGGCACCGCCATCTAGTGGGAACGCCGCGGGGCTACCGGGAATGCTCGGGGCCCGGCGGGCTCCTTCCCGGGAGGATGCTCCGCTCTCCTTCGCCTCTCCGGCAGCCGCGGGCCGGCTTTCGGGCTGGCTCCCTCCGCCCCCGGCGAGGTTCACCCCGAGCGGCGGTGTTAATTCCGCTCTCCCTGACTCCCTGCGTTTGTCCTGCTGCTGCTGGAGGGATGCTTTTTCCCTGCACTAAGGTGCACACTCGGCAACCCAGCACACGCCTGCAGCTTTCAGAATCTCCTCCATCTATCCCAAACATTTCATGGCCTTGCGCAGCCGTGTAGTGTGCTGTGCCTCTGCCCTGCCCTGGCAGTATCCTGCAGCATCTCGCTTTCTGTGACTCTTTCAGAAGGCACGGGGCTAAGCCCCAGGACTTCTCCCCTCGGGTTTGGATCAGTTTGCAGTCAGCCCCCTAAAAGCGCTGTCAGACAGGGCACGTGTGGTGCAGCAGGTGCCTGCGCTGTTACTGCCGCACAAAGCTCACACTGTTTCTCTCTATAAAAATCTACAGACTAGCAGTCACGAAATTTAATCCAAGACTTTATTGTGGTGAAATCGGATATCGAACTCTAAAGTGATAAATCAAACTCCAACTAATGTTTCCTGCGCAAGCAGAACGTGCCGTAATAAGGCAGTGTCCATGAGCCAGTGGAGTTGGGTGTTGTATGGAGAGGGTTCACAGGAGCTCCCCTTGGGCCTCTTGGGCTCAGGGCTCAGCACAGCAGGTCCCTCACTCCCTAGAGCCATGCTGGCTCTCCTCAGGTCAGCATGAGCACCATGGCCACGTGCTGTTCCTTTGTCACTTTGTCAGCATTGCCCTCTTTTTTTTTTTTTTTTTTTTCTCCCCCCGACCCTTTTCCTTTTTTTCCTTTTATTTTATTTTCTTTTTCTTTAACTGGCTTTCCCTGTCCGTGGTTGATGCTGTGCTGTGTCTGCACAGCAAAGATGCTGGCTGGGATGTGGCAGCTGCTGAGTTTACCTGTGTAGGGTCTTCACCCGGTATCACAGCCCAGAAAATTCAGTGCTGGGACATCACACGGGCATTTCTCCGGGACAGAGCTGCCCCTGTAAGCTGCATCTCACCTGTAGCAAGGCCACACTGCAAATTATAGCAACGCTAATAATTCCAACAAATCCCGATATTAATGATGTTCCTGAGGAGCAGAAGGCAGCTTTGCACCCACAGAGGTTTCTGTCTGAAGGTGCAGCAGACCCACAGCCCGTGCACCTTGGGGCTGGAGCTGGGGGTAGCTGCCTGCCTCGGGCCTGATCCTGTCACTGCCAGCTCCACACGGCAGCAGCTTTGGGAATGGATCAGCACCGGGGGTTGGACACAGGCACCTCGCCTCCTGGTCAGCGTGGGCACGGGCTGTGCAGAATTTCACACATATTTCCAGACTTTCCTCTCCTTAGGTCTGGGCAGAGGTGCACAAGCAAAGCTTTCACAGCGCAACCGTCGAGCATCCTCTCAGCGAGCCTGCGGAGGCCGTCCCGAGATCTTTGTGCGGGTTTTGTGCCGCGCATGAGGATGCCGAGCAGCGTGCTGGACAGATGGAGGGAGATCTGCTGCCCGGCCGCCGGCGCTGTTCGCTGCCATTGTTGCGAGGAGGCTGAGCTCCTCTTTGTACCGTGTCTATCTCTACTTAACCTCTGAGTGGTTGAAATTGGAAAAGCCTCTATTAAGATTTCTTTGCAATGACCAGCTCTTGGAAGTGCATTGTTCAGCTGCGGATGTCCAGGGAAGGCTGGAATAGTTCCCTTGTTTTGAAAATCATATGAGCTGAGAATTGTATTTCCTCTCTACTTTCCCTGCTGCTAAGGTCTGATTTGGAGTGGGGAAAGACCTGACCCAGGACAGAACATGCTGATTGTGGGTTTAAAACAAATACACACAAAAGCCAAAAATGAAGGAGAGAAGTTTCTGTGAGATGCAATGCTGTCCTGCAAATCGCTGGAATGGCTGGTCTGCTCTGAGCTTTATTTAAAAGATTTTTAAATTAATTCTGAGTTTTATATAAAAGATTCTGCTTTTCACTTGTTTTATTAACTGCTTATTTATTGTTTTATTTGTCGTTTATTTATTTCACTTGTTTATTTAATTTGTTTTATTTCCTTATCCAGGCTTTTAGGATGGCTTCTGAGTGATTTCGGTGACATTCATGCCCATGTTAACCACTTGCACCTGTGCTCCCCACAGCACCTGAAGGTAACAATCACCCTAATTAATTAATTAAGATGAGGACAATCAATTCAATTAAATTCACCTGTTTTAGGGCACGCCCCCCTGGTAACAGGCTGGGTTCTAAAAAGCTCCTCAAACAACTACAGTTCTTGCTGTTTCGGGAGTGGGGATGCTTCCAGAAGGACTTGCAGGGTGACCTGGGTACTAGCCATTTCCCTTTGACTGTGCTGAGTCTCCTTTGGGCACATTCTGATTGATAAGGTTGTTTTTTGTTTTTTTTTTTCCGGCTCTGCTGGCTGGTCTTATGTCTCCTCATGCTTTGTCTCACGTGTTTTTAAGTAGCAATTAAATAGCACCAGGCTGGCATTGGGAGGGGGGAGGGCTCCTGTCGTGTAACTTGCAGGCCCGGTGCTCTGCAGCAGATCAAACAGCCTAGGAAGAGTCCTTGTCATCTTCAAATGGGGAATTTTACACTTGAAACCCAGCTTATCCTCTCCATTTGCTGAGTTTTCTCTGTAACTGAGCCCTGAATAATTTAAGTAACGTAACATCAGCGTTAGGCTTCCAAAGCGGCTGGTGTGTGTGTGTGAGGGTTGCTGCTGCCAAAGGCAATTACACACAATTGCTCCAGCAAGTTCACTATTACATCTATTTATTTATTTAGATTTACACCTCGTGTTTGGTTTGTTTTTATGTTGGCCTTTTTTGGGGGCTTTTTTTTTTTTTTTTTTTTTTTTTTTAGTTGAGGAGCATCTGGAGCATTTAAAATGGGTGTATTAGGCAGGTTAACAAATAGAGGGGTACCCAAAAGCATCCAGGTCTTGCCCAAAGTGCTGCTTGTCAGTTCTCAGAGTTTCAGGATGAAGATGAAAACACGCCTTGTGCCACAGGGACTTGTGTAAGTAATTTCTCCGCAATTAAGGTGTTTGGGTATTGCTCTGGTGGGGACAAGGGAGTCCCCAGAGAAGGGGGGGCGTGTTCTCCTGCGATTGTCCCATTCCACAACAAAGAAAGAGGAACACAGGGAATGAGTGGACCCCCAAGGGTTCTGCTGCCTTGCTGTGCCCCCAGAAAGGGTCAGGAACGTGCACCGCTATGGGGTTCCCTCCGAAAGCAGGTCTTGGGGACCAGCCTGGGCAAGCCCATCTGGCTGGTGTTGCCTTCTGGGTGGCCACCCCCCCCTCAGGAGTTTGAGTTTGCTAGGAATTCTTCACTGGAAGGGAAAAGCAGAGGTGTGAGTGAGCAGAGGATGCGTGGCACCAGGGTGGTTTGCTGTTGCAAACTGCGAGGGTGGACAATAGGGTCGGAGTTAGGAAGGCTGGAGTTGCTGGTGCACCTGTGGGCACAGAAGTTTTCTAATGCTGGGTATGCCTTGGCTGGGCATGCAGGTGCCTCCCCTCTGCTCCTGGGCGGCTGCTGTGTCCGGGCACCCCCAAGATGGTGATTGTGAACGTTTTTGCTTTCACCTCTACTAGTTAGTGGCAGAAGTGGTTTCTGGTCCGGTGATGCAGACGGAGAACCGGGATTTTGCTGCCGTGTTCCTGTACCAGCTGCAACCTTTACACCAGGATGCCCAAGAGAAAATCCTCCTGGAGCAATGTGGCCGTGTCTCTCGTAACTGTGCTGATGCAAAACCTTGCACGAACACCACTCGAGATGATAGGAAGTCCTGCAGGTCCTCATCGTCCTCGTGGATCCGGATTTGTAATCAGCATGTGTGTGTAATTCAAGAGGAGGTGGCTAAGTGGAAGTCATGGATTTTGCTAGGCTAACCACTACAGCTGGGACAAGTAAACAAGATTGGAGTGCTCCGACCTTCCTTCAGGTATGTGCATCTATATATAGGGCAGTCTATGTATACATGTCTATATATAACACGTGTGCATATAGCTCTGTGGATATATCCGTGTGCTGAGAAATGGTTTGAAATTGCAGCAATGCTGTGAGATCATCTGCTCGCACCAGGCTGTGCCAGGTGTCCGCCAGGCTGGGTACAGCTCCTTAAGTGCGTGTCCCTCTCTGTGCCCCCGACCTTCAGCTTCCTCGGAAGGCGAAGGTCACCCTCCGGCGTGCCAGCGGCTCTGCCTCCTTCCTGCCGAACCCGATCCCTGGGCGCGTGGCCCGGGCGAGCCCGCCGGGCAGGAGCAGCCCTGGGCTGCCCGGGGGGCGGCTCCCAGGTGGCATTTAGGGGACAGCACCTGTCGGCAGGAGTAAGGAGGGCACAGCCCGGGGCCGCAGGCTGCGCTGCGCGGGGCGTGTTTGGCCCCTGTTGGCTTTGGTAGAGGTGAGGTTTCCCCGGTGGCTTTGAGGACCTGGAGCGGCCCTAGGAGCTGAGAAAAGCATAATCCGTGCGGAGCTGTGCCAGGGGGATGGATGGCCTGTTGTTGCGGGGGTCTCCTCCTGTGCCGTGGTGCTGTGGGGTTTTGGTGCTTGGGAGGAGCACGGCCGCTGGTGCTGGGGGGCACCGGGGGTCACCTTGACAGCAGTGGGGGGCTGAGGGCCGTGTACCCCTGCCCAGGAACCAAGGAGCATCTTGCGGCCCGACAAGGGGCCACCGCCTTCCTGCTGGCCGTGAGATGCCCTTGGGGTGCTGTGATGGGGAGCCCCCGTTATCCCCAAGGGCCGCTCTGGGCAGAGCGTGCCCCCGTGAGGAGTGAGGGAGAGCGGCTTTGCGGATCGGGGGATTCTGAGCCCCGCTCCCGAGCCCCCTGCCCGGGGCCGGGCCGGGCGTGCAGCTGCCGTGTCACCCCCCGAACCCCGGGCGGGGGGCTGCAACCCGAGCCTGTCCCCAGGGTCCCACAGCCCCGTGGCCTCGTCCCGGCGAGAAAGACAAGTTAATTCCCAGATAGATGCACCCCGAGCCCCGCATCTGCCAGGGGGGGGGCGTGGGGCCGGGCACAGGTGCGAGGTCCCCTCCCGGTTATAAATAGCGGGGAGGGGCGGCCCGGCTCCCCCCGTGCTCGGTCCCCCCCTCCAGGGCTCGGAGCGGAGCGGGATGCGGCGCCCTCCCTCCCTCCTCCCGCCCGCCGGCAGCATGAGCCCGTCCTTCCTCCTCCTCCTCCTCCTCCTCGCCCTGCCCGCCCGCGCCCGGCGAGAGCAGGTGCCCGGCGGGGCTCAGCGGGGCCGCAACGCCCCCGCGTCTTCCTCCTCCTCTTCCTCCTCGGCGGCGGCGGCGGGGCCGAGCCGCTTCCCGCGGAGCCGCCCGGATCGGCGGCGGGGCCGCCTCTACTGCCGGGTGGGCATCGGCTTCCACCTGCAGCTGCACCCCGACGGCCGCGTGGACGGCGCCCACGACGCGAGTCCGCTCAGTGAGTGGGGATCGGCAGGGCCGGGGGGCTCCTGGGCCGGGCTAGCGGGGCTGAGCATCCCTGTCCTTGCGCCATTGCCACCCCCCGGGGGGTGACAGAGCCCCTCGCTCCCGTCACCCTCGCCGGGGCGAGCTGCAGCCCTGGCGGGCACGGGCAGGGGCGTTCGGGGTGCCGGGGGGGAGCTGCGGTTTGCGGGCTCTGTGAGAGCTGCCTGTCTCCTGCCGGGAAGGGGCACCTGGGGGTTCGCCCGGCCCGAGGAAGTGAGCCCGTGGGGATGCTGGGAGAGTCTGCACTCCCACCACAGCCCCTTGCCAGGCACCTGGGAGGGAGGATGCTGCCCCTTTTCGGTCCTTTCCCTGTGGGACTTTTCCATCCCTCTCTCTGCATTCTCATTCTCCCAGCACAGTGATAGGATATATTCAGTTTAAAAATAGGACTGAGGCTGACGTTCCCCTGAGAGAAAGCTGTGCTAACTCATGGCTTATCCTCTGGTCGGAGTTGCCATGATATCCTGCTAGAGGGAATGAGATGGCAGGTGGGGATGAAAAATCACTTCAAGAGCCCGAGGGCTCGGGCCCGAGGTGACCCTGGCAGCGTGCGTGGCTCAGCTGTTCATGGAGCAGCCACCACATCTGCCTGGGACCAAAGAATTTGGGGCCCAGACTGTGCCGTGGCCCCAGGAGGGAGAACAATCCCTGGGCAGGAATGCTGGGAGCCCAGGAGCTCTGCTCGGGCCTTGGTGGGCACAGCAGGCACGTGGCCTGCAGGGGTTGAGGGGATGGGTAGGAAAGCGGGGTGCCCGTGCCATGGCTCACTCTTTGGGAGACGCGGGTTTGGAAGGGCAGGTAGAAGTTTGGTGCTACAGCTGTCTTGCAGAGACCTGAATTATTTGCAGCTCCTTCCTCCTTAACCTGAGCTATCCCCCCCGGAAAGGCCACAGCGTCTCCAGCTCTGCGTGTCGGAGCGGAGCCAGCCCCGGCTGGGGACAGGCGATGGAGAGGGCGGGCCGTGCCAGGGTGCTGCGGCGAGGAGGCCCTCGGGAGGCACCAGTTGCCTTTTGGCAGGGAAACCCCAGCTTTGGCCTGTGGGAAATAGGGCTTGACCCCAGGCAACCCCAAGAAGCGGGAGCATGTCTGCCACGGCAGCAGGGGCACCCCCAAAAGGCAGGAGGTTTTGGGGTGCCCTCGAGGACAGCCAGGTGTTGGACGAGGTGCGTGCCTTGCTGCAGAGCCTTGTGGCCTGTGGCACATGGGGTAGGGGGTGTGGCAGCCCATAACCCCCAAAGTGCCCCCTAGGCCCTTGGTGCTGGGACTTGGGTGCCTCGGGGGGATGTGCTTCCTCCTTAAAATAAACGTGGGAAGTGGTGATCTGATACCCAGCCTTGGGGGATTTAACGTGGCTTGTGTTTGCTCCTGGCATGTTAATCCCACGGCCCTTTGGGGGCCAGGCGAGATGCTCTGCCGGCTCCATCCTCTGGGGTCGGGGCCACAGAGCCCCTGGGGCTGCAGCTGGGCAGCAGTGCCGGCTCCCCGAGGTGCCAAGGGGACGCTGGGGACATGGTGCTGACCCCCCCCCTCCCAGCTGTCAGGGGCTGGGGGGATTCCCGGCCCTCTGCCCCAGGTAGCCCACAGCACCTGGGCAGGTGCTGCTGCTGAGGGATGCTCGGAGGTTGGGGTTCTTCTGTCAGATGAGCTGCAGGTCTTGCATGGCCCACCAGGGGCCGGAAGCCCATCACACTCGGGGAAGTCCTGTTTTTTCCACGGCTGGGCTGCCCGGTGCCCCGTTCCCCAAGCCCTGCTGGGAGCACGGCGTGTGAGGGAGCATCAGTGGTACCTCCAGTCCCAGCTGGCCTGTGTGCCACTGACTTTGAGCTCAGTTTCTGCAGGATGAGGATGGGCAGCTTTGATCCCAGCAGGCTGCTGTAGGTACGAGGAGCTTTTCCCACCCTTGGCAGCGGTTTCCCCAGGGGCTAACTTGTTCTACCACAGCTCAGCCAGGAGTCGCGCCCCAAAATCGAGCTTTAAAAAGAAAAGAGAGCCCCAGCCACCCCCCTGTATCCGTCTCGGAGTGGATGGAGGCTGCTCTGTGAGGCAGAGGGATGGAGCAGGAGCTGGGTGGAGCCAGGCAGCTGAGGAGCAGGGACGTGGGAGAGGAAATGCAAACCTGTCAGACTGAGTTGTATTTATTTTTTCTCTGTCTGTCCTACCGATATGAAAAGAACTGTGATTTATTTTGGGATTTCTGTCGTCCTAGGTATTTTGGAAATATTTGCTGTGTCTCAGGGGATTGTAGGAATACGAGGAGTTTTCAGCAACAAATTTTTAGCGATGTCAAAAAAAGGAAAACTCCATGCAAGTGTAAGTAAAACCCCTACCCTCCCCCCCATTGTGAGTATGTGTTGTTTATCAAAAGCTTTGGGGCACGTCCCCGTGCCGGCACAGCGGCAGTCCCGGGCACGGCGGGTCCCTCGGGCTGGCTCGGCGCCGGGCAGGCACAGAGGGGACAGGTGGGGCCCAAGCCCCCCGGCCCACCTTCCTCCTCCTCCTCCTACAGCGCGTTTAGCAGCGCAGAGTGCGCCTTTCTGTGCGCGCTGGGGCGTGTGCATGGGCAGAGCCTGCTCTTTGAGCACGGCTGGGTTATTTTTAGCCACTTCTGCGGCAGATCGCGCACAGGGGTTTAGCCAAATGTCTCCCGGCGAGCAGCACACGTGGCGCCGGCAGCCCCGGGCTCGGGCTGGCTTTGCCCTTGGAGACAGGGAGCCCTGCGGGGGCTCGGCAGGTGAGCTCCAGACCGTGCAGCTATGCTGCAGCTAGAGTGCAAAATTCCTGGTCGCTCTGCTCTGCAGGATGGTTTCCTGAAGGCTGAGGTTGGCTGCAGGTCTCGGGATACTTTTTCCAGCTTTGTGTCCAATGAATCCATAAGTTAATTTCGCTGCTTGTTTCAAGCTCGGGGTGTTTCTTTCCCGTTTGCTCTTGTCAGTTGCAGAGGTGGTTTGAACAGACACGGTGAACTCCTGTGCTTTAAAGGAAAGTCGGTGCCTTTGGAAGATGTGTACACATGCACCGCCCCAGGAAGGGCATTTTTAGGGCGGCATCTCGTCCCTGAGGGTGGCTCCCAGAGAAGCCTGGTCAGGCTTGATGGCTGGGGGAAAGGGTCAAGGTGGTTTCCCACCTTGAAGTTCTGGGATCAACCTCTCGGTCCCAGAGAGATGTCGTGGATGTGCCTGCACTGCCCCGAGACTGCAGATGACTTGAGGGAGATGTGTGAACTCGGTTCTCTATCCCCTAAGCCTTCTTGGAGTGTGGCTCCTGAAGCCTGTTGATGCTTAAAGGGTGAGCACGTGCCTGCTTACTTTAGGATATGAAGTGGGAGCATGAATGGTACCTAGGGGAAAAGAGGAATGGTTCCATGGAGGAAAACATGAGGTGAGAGCAGAGGGGGCAGAGCAAGGGCAGAGGGAAGCAGGCAGAGCGACATTGCCGGACTCTCCAGAGCCTTCCCTTCTGGCGTACAATGGGCCTCTTATCTGAGCTGAAGCCTTGATTTATGCCCTGGCACAGGCAGAAATTAAATCAAGCCTCGTTGGTGCGTGGTTAATTGTTGACACACAAAGGGCAGGGCCAGGGAGGGACCTCAGTCAGGAGGGTCAGGGCAGGGGTGAGGACACACGATGCCCCGCTCGGGTGAAAGCTGCAAATTTGTAGAAACTTGACCCAAATGTCTGAAGATTGCTGGACTAAACAATGCCAATAATGCAAACCCGGCATCTGTTGTTCTTTCCTGCGCTGGCAGGATTGAAGTTATTTCATGGCCTAATGAGTTCCGAGCAGTACAAAGCACGTCCTGTGCCCGTCACTCAGGGCAGGGCTTTGATATGGGAGTCAGGCTGGGGACTTTGCGCTGAACCACAGACAAAAGTCATCCCTGCAGGAATTTGGGCTCCTCCAAAACTCACTCTTGGGCTCAGCTCCATCCCAGCTTGGTGTTTTACAGACGCTCTCCTCCTCTTTCTTTTCTTTTATTTTCTTTTTTTTTTTTTTTTTTTTTCCTGCCAGCTTAATTAAATTACTGAGTGGTTCATTTTTAGAGGCAGCAGCTTCAGAATATGACAGTTATCCCGGCAATTATCAGTTGTGTGCACAGATGGCTTTTTCCTCGTTGATAAATCCTCGCTCTCCTGTTTGTCCATTTTTAGCACGGAGCGGGTGGGAGGGATTCGGTGCCTGTCCAGCACGGACCCCGGGGGATAGATCTGCCCAGGTAATTCTGCTTTTCCAAGAGTTGCCACAACGGCGCCTCCCTTGCTGGGGCAAGTCTCTGCTCGACTAGATTTTGAAGTTTAACTGACTTCAGGACTGCCCTTGGTGATGGTCTCTGGAGTTCTGCAGAGCACATCCAATGCCAGCCACGTGCTGTGGCTGCCGTGCCTGCTCTCTGTGGGGGAAAATGGCTTTTCCAGACTGGAGCAGTGCAGCCGTGAGCCGAGAGGCTGGGACGTGAGGAAGTCTGACAGGATCATGGTGAGGCAGCTCTTGCTGTGCTTCCCCAGGGCAGGGCAGGGGCTTCCCTCTGTGTGTGGGACTTGGGCTTCGGGGAGCACCAAGGGTCACCAGAGCCCTGCTGGGAAAAGTGAAGGCCTGTGTATGGGAGAAGCAGCGGGGAGAGTCTGAGAGACAGGGAGAGCAGAAATGAATCACAGAGGTGACATCGCTCAGAAGCAGCAAGCTAGAGAAGGCCGAATTTAAGTGCTGTGAGGCAAAATGTGCGCGGCAGTTTGTGGGCTCTCGTTTGTGCCGTTTGTGTCAATTCCATTGGTTAAATTCGGGCTTCGGAACACTTCGCTTGTGGTTACAAAGCCCTGCTTGGGGGTTGGGTCTTGTTCTCGCTCGCTGGTTCGGAGTTGGAGAGCTCAGCATCTCCTCCTTGTCAGTGGTTTGGAGGTGTTGCCGTGAAATGGAGCTGGGGAAGCCTTTAGGGCACCGTGCCCCATCGGGCTCAAGCGTGGCGCAGCATTTGGGAGGGGCTGCTGACAGCTATAGCTGAGGGTCGCGGGGCTGTAGGCACACAGCGCAGTGCCAGGCTCCGCTCTTCCGTTTTGGAGAGCAGGGAAGGGCCCTGCTGGGGCAGCCCAAGCCTTTTTATTCCCGGGAAAGCCCAAACCTGGGTGGCAAGCAGCTGCCGAGCTGGGCGTTCCCCAAAGAGTGGGGTGCCCGGCGCCCTCAGCCTCGGTGCCCGCTGTTCCCAGCCGCTCCTTAGGGAGGCGGCCGAGCCAGCCGGCACTGGCGGTGGGGGACAGCGAGCGCCTGGCCCTTGTGAGCAGTGTCCCCCCTGTCCCCGCAGGCCCGCTTCACGGTGGATTGCCATTTCCGGGAGCGCTTCCAGGAGAACAGCTACAACACGTACGCGTCGGCCGTGCACCGCAGCCCCCGCTCGGGCCGCCAGTGGTACGTGGCCCTCAACAAGCGCGGCAAGGCCAAGCGCGGCTGCAGCCCCCGCGCCCGGCCCCAGCACGTCTCCACGCATTTCCTGCCCCGCTTCGGGCAGCCGCAGCCCCCCGAGCTCGCCTTCACCGTGGCTCTCCCGGACAAGAAGACCCCGCCGCCCAAGCCCAAGGCGGCCCCGCCGCGGAAGAACCCCGGCCCCGTCAAGTACCGGCTCAAGTTCCGCTTTGGGTAGCGGCACCGCGGGGACGGCGGCACCGGCAGCTTTCGGGAGGAGCCCGCGGCAGACTCGCGTCTCCCTCTGCAGAGGGACACGGCTCGGCTCCCGGGTGGCCGCGCCGGGCTCGAGGTCTTCTCTGAACCACAGCAGCTGGGAGGCATCCCCGCAGACGGGTGCTGGGATGAGCAGCTCGGGCTTGCCAAGGAGCATCCCTGTGGTGGACTGAAAGCACTGCACGGACCTCGGGTTAGCCTTCTGTTGTTGGAACGAGTAGAAAGGTACCTCTATAGCCGACGTATTTTTTTAATTTTCCACTAGTGACTCCTTTGACAATCATTTGCATACGAGAGAGATGTTCGGAGTCAAGTTTGTTTTTCTCGCATCTCCTTCTTGCTGCACTTTTTCCTCCAACCATACCTCAGGCACCGTGTATCCAGGTCTGTCCCTTTCCCTTCTCTTAGAAGCCAGCTCTTCCCTTCGACAAACGAAACAGAGAGACCAAGCCCTGCAAATTCAGTCGCCTTATCTGTGGTGCCAGGTAGTCTCCAAACCCTGTGTTGGCAATAATAGATGTGTGTGTATGTATTTTGTGATGTGTACATCACAATGTGTGGTTTGGGGAGGGTGGCTGTTTGCACCCCGCTCCTGGTGGTCTCTCCTGTTCTTCCCTGGACAGCTGCAGGAGCGAGTCTCTTCCTGTCCCTTCGAGTATGGATTCCATGCCCGCTTTAAAATACCTCTGCCCTGGTGCCAGGGCATTCCTACTCCCTGGAGGAGTCCCTACGCAGGTATCCCCACAGGATAGGGATGCTGTGGCCCCCAGGTGCCCACTGGTTTCATCCAACAGTTTTTGCTGCTGATTTATTTTATCACTTTCAATACATTTGCAAAGGCAGGGAGCAAGGTTCTAATTTTACAGTGAGCGTGGTGATGTGGCAATAAATGCTGTTACAGCTGCTTGTCCCTTGGGGAGTGTTTTTCCCACCCAGGTGGCCTGATGGCCCCGATATTGAATTGTTTCTCTGTCGTGGTGCGATCTGTGGAGTAGTTGTGCACATGGAGCGTGTAATCAGTGTTGCTGTACGTGCAGGCACTGGTAGCATTGAACCTCACCGGTGAAGCCTTAATCGGAGCCCAGGAGGGCTCAGGTTGGCAGGAGCCCTCAGGACCTGAGCCCCACCAGCGTCCAGCAGCAATAATTAGCCTCCTCTCCGCATCTGATTGTGGTACCAATGGCTGTTCCCGTTGCAATCGTGGTTCTTTGCCTTTGTCATCCTTCTGGCAGCCCCTGGTCAGACGCGTGTGCTCCACGTACGAGGACGGATGGGGACGTTGGAATAAAACTGTTGTGTTTTATTTTATAACCTGATTGTGTGGTCTCTTCCCTTGTCTGTGCCTGCCTTTCTCCCCCCGAGGGAAAAACGGGGGCACTGCAAAATTGGGGTTGGCCAGCGTGGTGTCGGTGATGGGGTGGAGCTGAAAGGGTGTGGGCGTTCCCTTTGCTGTGCCCCCAGACCGTGCCCCAATGGCTCCTCTGGGGCAGCTCTTTGCACCTGGGTCACAGCAGGGCCGGGTGAACAGGGATGTCCTGTGCTCCCCGTCACCTCCAGCCGCACTGTCTGGCTGTGCACGGACGGAATCCAGGTAATTAGCGCTCAAGTGACCTCTGTGTGCTAATGGAATCGGAGCCTTTGCAGGTGTTCCCCCGGCCCAGGCAGGTGTGTGGAGCTCCCCGGGCAGGTAAAGGAGGAGTGAATGTGCTGGTCTTGCTGCATCCCCTCAGAGGAAAAAAGGTATTGGTTTAATCTCTTCTTACAGAAAACTCTTATGGGGGAAAACCAGAAGCTGATGTTTTGCTGTTGTGGTAATAATTAAAATGTAGTGATGCTATTGAAACAAAGAGGCCGGGGGCGAGCAGCCCCAGCAGGGAGAGCAGGGGCAGGGAATCCAGCAGACACTCCCTGTTCCTGTCAAACACCCTTCTTTAAGGGAATCCGCTGGGCTTGCATAGCAGCAGGGCACTAAAGACCTGAGAAATATGGTCAATGTGTCTTTTAAATTTAAAATTTAAATTCGTTTTTCTGGGGGTATTGTTTCTGTTTTCCTTTTCAGCCCACCTCAGAGGTACTGCTGCGGTGCTGGGGAAAACAAGCCCGAAACCCAAGAGGCTAAAGAGGATTCCCAAGTTCCTTTCCAGACAATTGCTGCTCTCAGAGGAGGTGCGAATCCATGTGGAGCTGAGGGAGGGGATACAAGGAGTACAGCAGAGTGCAGTGAGCTGCCAATGTCCTCCAGCTCCCTGGTTTTAGGGACATTCATTCACCTTCTGAGAGGGGAAAAGCCTTCCCGTGTTTTTTTTTTTTCATCCTGTAGTCACTCCTGCCAGGGGTGTAGGTCTTGTTCCAGAGTCCCCAGAAGGATTTGCGTGTGTCCTGCACTCCCGAATGCATGGCTTGGAAGGAGCATCCTTGAGTAGGAGTGAGAGGAAGAAGATTTTGTATGGAGCTGGAGAGTTCGGGCAGGTGAGAAGAGAGAAACGAGCAAATCTAAGAGTTGGAGGGTCCCTTACGGTGCCTCAGGGATCTCCCGGAGAGCTGGGGTGGGGCTGAGACCACGGCAGGGTGTGCGCAGCCCCCAAACCCCACCGCCAAAAGGAGCCCCGAGGATCCCCCGTTCCCGCAGCCCCCGCCCGTGGGTGTGCGGGGCTGGGCCGGGCTCTCCGAGCAGCGCTCGGGTGCGGGGCTCGTTCTCGTGTCCGCGCTTCCCTGCGCAGCGATGGGCCCGGCGGCTCGGCCGGTTCCTTGCCAGGGACGCGTGTGCCCTGCCCAAGCTGCGTGCCAGCGGCGGTCACGGCGTCCCAAGGGCTGGAATTGCCGTCTTGGGAGCGCCCGTGCCCGCGGCTGGGAGGCAACTCCTGGGGACGGGGACGCCGCAGGTCTTCTGTGCCCCTCTCGGGGGCAGGGCCCGTCGCTCGCAGGTGTGCAAGGTGTGCTCCTGGAGCGCAGAGCAGCCGGCACTGCCCGGCGGGGAGGGCATCCCTCGGCTGGGGGCCGTGCCCGCGGTGTCCCCCGGGTCTCGGCGCTCGCTCACCCGCCCGTGTGTCCCTCGGGCACCGCCCCTCCGGCACGGCTCCCCACAGGTGAGGATGACCCCAAATTCAGGGTAAGGGCCCTCAAAGAAGCGTTCTGCAAAGGTGCCGGCTCCGGGGTGAAACGAGTAAAATAAGCAGACCTGCTCCTGTTTTAATGCGTTTCTTGAGAAATGAGCTCTGGGTAAGACATCGACGGATCACGTACACCACCGCTGCTACCAATGGACGAGCCGGAGAAAATAATTCCCGTTTGTTGGGTATTACAGCGAGGATTTTTCACTCACAAAATTCCCACAAAAAAGGCGAAGTGCTTCGTAGTCCAGAGGTGTCATGTCCATCGGGTGCTGTTGAAGTCATGGTGACAAGGCAGAAGGGTCCTGGTTGGTGATTTCATCTTCTTCACTGTTTTTCTTACATGGGAGTTCCATTTTTGTTTTTCGATTTTATATTGGCTCGTTTTTCAGGTTTTTTTTTTTTATTACTGAGCCGTGTCCCATAAACACTTGCGGTCTTCTCATTTGCTAGGCATAATTTTTGGGAGCAGCGAAGGCGTTACCCACGGGGCGGGAAAGGGCACAATGGCAAGATAATTCCAGGGAGTGGGAATCGCAACAGAACGACAGCAACAATTAACATAAAAACGGGGACCTTTCCACAGTTAACAGAAGATTAACAGAACAAACAGGGGCTCAGGAGCACCGTGGGCGTTGTCACCGTGGTTGTTGTCGCAAGGGAAGCGCTCCTTGCTCCTTCTCCCGGCGTGTGTGACTGGGCGTGTTCCCGCGTGTCCCGCTCCTTCCTGCGGGATGCCTAACTTGCCTTCAATAAACTCCTTGGGCTTCTGATGCACTCCCCAAAAGTCTCTGGCAAGGGCAGTTCAGGCAGAGCTTACTCGGTTTTTGGGTTGAGGCTTTTCCTTGGAGCTCTGCCCTCTCACACTTGTCGCAGCTTGCTGTGAGAACCGAGTCGGCCTCGGGAATTCTGGGCTTTGCAGTCACATTTATCGTGTCTTGTGTCTGGTTCCCTCTGGATTTTTCCTCTTGCCCTTTCTCCAGTCTGTTTCCCTGGTGTATATGTCTACAAACATTTATGTGCTTTTCTGGCCTCTTGAGGAAAATAAATTAGCAACTACCACTATTTGCCTAATAAATTAGGCAACTACTACTATTACCAACATAAATATTAGTTTGGGGGGGGCCCTTGCTACGAGGAGCTGAACAACATTTTTATAGCACATGTTTTGTCAGCATAGTTTGTGAATGGTGGAGCCACTGTGCAGCATCATTGTCCTTTGGAGTTTTCCCCTTATTTTGGTGTAGTGAGATAATTATGGAGTGATTTAATAGCATGTGTCACACGTCTTTGGTAGCATTTGTGGGCCAGGAACACGTGTGCTGCATAGCTCAGCTATTGCAGTACCTCGTGTGCTATCTTGTTTCAAGTTCCTAGTTCAGGCAAAACCTGACTTTTGTTTTAATGCCTTTTTAATATTGTTTTTTAATATGCGGAATTGACTCTTCACACAATCACGGAATCCCAGAATGATTTTCCTTCTAAAGATCATCATCATCCAGTCCCCTGCCATGAGCAGAGACACCTTCCACTAGACAAGGTTGCTCTGAGTGCTGTCTGTTCTGGCCTTGACCATATCCAAGGCAATTAATGGGAGTCTTTTAGTCCACGGTGGGACACAGCACTTGGGCCTTTCATCCAAGAACGGGCTGCTTGGGTCCAAACAGAGAGGAGTTAGCTGGTAAGTGACGTCTTGGTCCTCCTTGGGAAACGGACTTGTGTTTAATGGTTTTGGAAACACCTGTGAGTGGCCAGTGTTCATCACAGGGAGGCTTCCACAGCCAGACCTCACTGTCCTGAGGAGTTGTGTTCACCTTTGCTCCTGCCCAACATCAGCTTCCAGCTCCACTTCCCAGAAAGGACTAAAAGAGCACAGCCAGCACAACAGGGAGTGCCTGGGCTGCCTTTCTGCTCTCCTGTGAGCCAGGGGCCGCTGTGCAGCTGCTGTTCACTGTAGGCTTCCATAATCCCTTGTTATTTGTAGCATTGCTCTCTAGGAACCCATCAGCAAGGAAAAGCCCTTGCAGGATGCTGAGGCTGTGTAGAGCTCCGGGCCTGGGTTATTAGAGTCTCTCCTGATGTACTTGATTTTCTGTTAAGGCCTTTCAAGCATGCTCAAATACCCTTACCTTCAGTCCATGCACTTGGTCTGGATGGGCAAACAAAACAAGTGCTTGGCAGAAATCGAGTGCTGTTGTAGAGTACTGGAAGGCAGTGTGTAGCTTTCCTCTTGGACTTTTCCAGGGTCTTTACTGTTACCTGTCTCTGTGCAGTGACACAAGTTGGATCCCTGCCTACGCCAAGGGGCAGGGCTGAAGTTTCTCTTTTCTTTTCTTTCCTGACAACTTCTTGCCACTGAGAGGCCTCTTCATTTTGTTTTCCCTGCACACTGAATTGTTTTGATTTAAGCTTTATTTGGGGCCCCACGGAAGAACATGATTGAGCAAGAACTGTTAATCCACCTCAGTGCCTTTCCTGCAAGGACTCATGGACACCCATCCTGTCACTCAGATGCCAGCTGCTCGCAGGGTGGGAGTGGGCAGCCAGGGAATGGGATCTGAGTTGCTGCCTTTGGGTCAGAGGCGTGCCTCGTGCCTTGGGTGGCTTTTTGGGGAGCACACGTTCCAGAGCAGCAGGACGGTGTCCATAGATGCCGGGTGAGATCCTGAGTGCAGAGTGCCAAGTCACAGCTCTACCTGCAGGCCCTGCGAGTGCTCCCAGAGACCTAAGCAAGTATTTTGGGTTCAGGAGTTGTTTTTCTCTGCTTTTCCTGAAGGTGTAGCCAAGCGTGTTGCAAAAATGGTTATTTTCTGCACTGAAAAGCCTTCCATGTATGACCACCAATGCATGTGCGTGTTTTACTCCTGTAGCCAGATGTGCTAAGAATTTTACTTTCCAAGCCAGCACCTGCTGCGGGTATCTGTTTGGTTTGTGTCTGTGAGAAGTGGGATTTGTGCTGGACAGAGAGGTGCTGTCGGGAAGCAAGGATGGAGTAAGTTGCCTCTGGAGATGTGTGGTGAGGGAATGAGTTGCTGGGAAGGGGAATATTTATAGGCTGTATCCATATTTACCTGAAACTGGGGCTGGGGCAGGCATGGGGGTGCTTGGGTTTGGTCTGGGCCTGTGAGGATGAGCCATGAAGAACCCAAGCGAGCCCCTGAGCCATCCATGGATGTTTTGAACACTTCCACAGAAAGGCAAGGCAGTCATGATTCCAGAGGAGAAAGGAGAGGTGGTGGCTGCTGAGCACTGGAGCGTTTGCTTTGGAATTGTGACTCAGAGAGTGTATGGAAGCAGAGAGCATCTTTTGGTTCTTTTTCTGCTGTGTAATCTGCTCTCTGGTTTTAATGAGTTTTGTGTGCTCTCATTAAGGAAACAGCATGTTTCCAGATGGAATTTTGTGATGGGCCTTGAATAGTCCATGCTGTTTTACAGAACTACTTTGGTTAGGGGTCAGAGAGGGAGAAGATAAATCACTTTTTATTATCTTTGGATTTTTCAATCTGGGCACATGAGAGTAGCTCAGTGCTGGCACAGTCCTCTGAGGAAACAACAGTGTTTGGAAGGTTTAAGCCTCAATAACTACTCCATTGTATCTCAACTGCAAAGATTTGGTCCTGCAGTCCCAGACAGATGAGGCGAAAACCAAATTTCTGTTACTCATGCTAAGTCTTGTGGAGTCTTTCAATTCTGTTGTATGATGTACTGTGCACTATTTTTCTAACAAAATCTGTTTGAAATTTAGATTAAGGACTAGAATTTAGGACTGTTTGCAGAAATCAAAAGTCTTGTGAAGCCTGGAGGACTGGGGTGATGACTGCTCTCAGCAAAGGTTATTTATTAACATCATGTCGGATTCCCCTCACCCTTGGGCAGGACACCTCTGGGGCTGTGTTGCAGGTCACAATTAGGGCTGTGTGTAAGATTGACCCAGGTGAGGTCAGTATTGACCTGTAGGTCTGGGGTTTGGACCCAACACTGAGCTGAACCAGGATCAGGGTGATGGATGGTGCGTTTTGTTACATCCTGAGATTTTATATGGCCCCTTTAGCCTTCCCTCCAGCCACGAGGATGTGGCTGCAGTGGAAGGGGATGCTGTGTCAAAGTGAGCTGAAAGTAAACCTGCACCTCCTCCAGAAATTCCTGCAGTGGGAATTGGCTGCTGTCACTGCCACCCTGCCTGGGGCTGTGTCCTCCTGGCAGTCCTTGCCGGCCCCTCACACGAGCTCCAGAGGTGTCTGTGTGCCGTGTTGGGAATGTGCCTCATCCCTGGGAGTGTCCTTTTCTTCCTGGGCAGCCAGACCGAGCTTTTGGGCTTGTCAGCTTCAGAGTTTGATTGCCAAAGTCACTGAAAGGAAGACAACGAGGTTTGTCAGAGTGGTGCTGTCAGTCCCCACCTGAGAGTCTGTGCTTTGTGTTGGGGTGGTTGTGTATTTGCACTGCAGGGAATGATTGAATGCCCCCTTCCAAATTCCGCCCAACAGACCCCAGAGGCTCTTACAGCAATATTTTCTTCTTGACCTCCCTGTGTGTTGATGAATTCTCCAAATGGCTCCGAGCAGTTGTGTAATTTTTCGCGGAGGCCATGGCACGGCAGAGGCAGTTGGTGGAGGAGCCCCGAGCCGTGTTTGGAGCAGGCGGCGCCGGGAGCCGCAGGGGATTTTGTGCCCAGGTGTGTTCGCCAGGCCTCGCACCTGCCTCTCTGCTGCCACCTGCCGGCCGCGCCCGGTACTGCAGCGCGCCGCTGCGTATGCGCCTTGACTCGCCGGGCTCGGTGGCGACACCTGCCGACTGGAGAGCGATACTGCAGCGAGCAGGGCGCGCATGCGCACTGGCCACGGAGACGCCGCGTGTCACGTGGCCATTGAGGGCGGCGCGGGAACAGTGGTGAGCATGCGCAGTGGCGTTCCGGGCGCGGTGCTGCCCTCCTGTGGGGAGCAGCCGGTACCGCAGGGCAGGAGTGAGGCGGGCGCTCGGCGCCGGTCCCGCCCGTGCGGGCCCGCGGTGCCCGGAGCCCCGGGAGCAGCTGCGAGTCCCGCCTCCGGTAGCGCCCGTCGAGGGGCGGGACGAGCCAACGGAGGAGCCGGCCTGCTCCTGTGGCTGCAGCCGCGTTCAAGGTGAGCGGGATCCGGCTGGCCGGGCGCCGGCGCCTGTGAGGGTCGCTCCGGAACGGGCAGCGGGGACTTGGCTGGGGGCGCGGGACGGACGAAAGCTGTCCCGTCCCAGCGCGTGCACGGAGCCGGGAAGGAGCGGCGGGGCCGCCCGGCAGAGCCTTTCCCGGGAAACCCGACGGTGGGGTTTGTCCCAGCCCGGCCCCGGCCGAGGGGCAGCGGGAGCAGTGTGGGGCGCAGGGAGGATGCGGCTGGGGCTGGAGGCAGAGCTTGGGCGTTTCTTGTATTAACGTGAACGTGCAAAGCAGGGAGTGAGGTGGGACAGAAGCACTGCGGGTGCTCGGCAGGTGAGCCAGGACTCGGGAGGGCGTCGCCTTCCTGAGCTCCTGAAGTTCCACTTGCCTCTCTCAGGAGCACTCACGAAAAGTTCCCTGCTTGGAGATGGGCCCCAGAAAGAAGGAACCTGAATTTGCTGCTTCGGATAAGACTGTAAGTATGTGAAGCTTGCTGCTGTAAGCAGCCACTAACTTCCACTGACGTTTTAACGATTAAAAATGGTCACTTTTATTTTCTCTGTGCACTAACTTGGTTTTTCTACGCAGGGTTCAGCGAGGCTGTGAATTGCAGTCCAGAGCATCCTCAGGCTCCTGGTGCTTTAGGCTGAGGGATTTGGCAGATAGAAAACATTGCTGTCTAACCCGGATTTGGATGTGAGTTTCCAGAGTTACTCAAATTGGGAAAAGGCTAGGAGGGTGACGGGAAGGGCTTCATAACACAGTTGGGCAGCGTCAAGGCAGGAATGTTTTTGAACTATCTCTTATTTTTGCTTTCCCAGGTCAGGGTTAAGTTGGTGTTTGCTAAATGGGGTGTGGAGTGATGAGGGTTCTGTTGGGGGAGTGGACACAGGGACACCCCTGGCTGTTGTGTCCCGCGTGGGTAGAGAAATCTGATATCAGCAGTATGTATTTATGGATATTTACTCAATCCAGGGGTGCCAGGTGTTGGTGTTTCAGAGGGGAACAGGGGCTGGCAGACACTGGGACTGGTTGTTTGATTATTGCTGGAGATGAGCAGCTGGGCCTTCCCTGAAGCTGTGCTGGATGTCCTGTCTGGCCTCAGGTGTATGCAGTAGGTGCAGGCTGAGCAGGTTTGGGGCCTGGAGTATCCCAGCTTGATCACTGTTTGTTGCCTTGCAGAGGAAAAAGAGTCCGTGCTTGGCTGTGTGCTCCCTGCAAGCCCAGCCCTCAGGTTCCTCAGCGTTTGTGTGACCCCCTGCCAGTGTCACCATGGCTCCCTTGGCCATCCTCCTGCCCAAGGGTCGGAGCTCTGTGGAGCTAGGGCACGTCACTTCTGGAGAAACAGCTGTTGTGTTGTAGATCTGCAGAAAGGCTGAGGCTCCAAGTGGTTTGAGGGTTGGATGAAGCAGAACAGGGTATAGGCAAATCAGTTCCAATAGGCTGAGGACCGTCCCTTGTTATTTATAGAACACTTAAGCCAATAGTGAACCAAACCTGTGGCAATGATTGTAAGTAAGAGTTGTACTTGTTTTTCCCAAGGTCACTGGGAAGTGTGGGGCAAGGACTGAAGGACAACTCCTTGCCAGCCTGGCAGAGAAGCAGCAAATTGTGCTGGAAGAATATCCACGAGTACCTGTGGGATGATGATCTACAGTTGTAAAATGAATCTGGAAAGGAAACCACGTTATTTTGAGGGAATACATCAGATGGAATACGTGAGAGATTGTTGGATGAGCCATCTCTTGAAAGCGAGAAATATGTTCATGTTAGGTCGCTTTTCTTACATAAGCGAAGCATCTGGAAACACTCCAGGAAGGCTACGGGAGGTTAGTGAAGAGCTGAGGACACACTTGGGGTCGCTGCTGCCTCGTCTGCCCCTCCCGCGATCGCATCTGCTTGTCCCAGGATGGTTTGGCTGAAGGTAAAACTGCCTCTTTCTGCAGAGCTACATCAATATTCTTCAGTCCAAAGGGTGGCTTGTCCTGTGTTCTTGGCTTTTTTAAGAGCTGTAGTTTTGCCAAGAAAGAGCATCGTGGTCTGGATATTGCATTCAGCTAGAATTGTGCCTCTGGTGCCTTTTTCAGGGAGAAGCCAGAGCTTGGATTTCTCTCTCTTATGTGGCCTTGGTGCTAAAGCCAAGTACTAAAGGTGCCTGCAAATGCACGACTGGGTGCTCTGGAGGTTAGGAGTGATTGGGACTTTGGGCAGGTGTACCCTAGTG